TCTCGATAACTGAAAGACCAATTGTTTGTACTGACTGCATTATAAAACCTAGTTACATAAAGCCTCTATCTTCCTGGTCATCCCTTACATCGGCTAATGTGTAAATGAATTCACATTTCCTGGGCACATACTAACTCCGCCATTAGAAAGAAGGCCAGGGCTGGCCAGGGTGGCCTGAGGAAGCTGATTTCAGCTTTGACTCTGGACTTGGACAGTCCATCAAAGTTGATTACCATTTGGCTTGAGTAGAATGGAGAATGGAGTCATTTCCTCTCACTCTTGTCTCTGAGGAAAGGAGAAACAGCTGGCTCCTGGTTGAAACTCCGGCTCACCCAAATTTCAAGTCCAGCACATTCTTGGAGGGGCCTGTCCCGGACCACTCTCATTCAAAGTGAGCTCCCCGCATCCAAATTGCTAGAGAAATCTCTACACAATTCCATTCATGCAATGAGTCATCATACTGCCCCTCTGCTCTCACCCATCATTCATCACTTCATTATTACTAAAATCTCACAACAGTAGGAATAATAATGGTTAACATTAAAAAACATTTTTTTTCAATGTTTATTTTTGAGAGACAGAGACAGACAGAGCGTGAACAGGGGAGGGGCAGAAAGGGAGGGAGATACAAAATCCGAAGCAGGCTCCAGGTTCTGAGCTGTCAGCACAGACCCAGATATGGGGCTTGAACTCACAGACCATGAGGATCATGAATGACCTGAGCCGACTCAGGCACCCCAATCATGGTTAACGTTTCTTATGTACTGGATCCTGGACTAATGGTGTGTGTAGCATTATCTCAGTCTCCCCAAACCACCATCAGGTTGACGCTATTATTATCTTCATGTTATAAAAGGAAAAACAGAGACCAAGAAAAATGAAGTAACTTGCCCAACGTCACACAGCTAGTCTAAGTCTTGACCCCCAGTCTCTCTGAATCGGGACGCTACTCTCTTAACATGTTCACAAATTCTATCGGACCCACACAGATCTTCTGGGACAAAGACCTCTCACAACTGATTGCAAAGTGGGCTTGAGAATCACTAGTCTCCCCTCCTTCCACATTCTCTTCTCTACGTGCCTACTGTCCTGTTCCCGCACCCTCACATACACCCTCCCCACCGGTCATGCCTCAACCCTGTTGAGTGTATGGACCTATTCTGTGAACAGGTCTTCGAAAAGAGCAAAGAAAAGGAAAATCAAAGCCCAAATGTCTACCTGAATGTAACCAGCGAGTGGCATGCCCATTTTGGCATTTTAATTGCTGAACTAAGGGACGGTGGCATGTATTTTTGTGCAGGCACTTGCAGATGTGGGCACACATGCCAGGCCAGCTCACTTTACTCAACTTGGGACCAGGTCACACATATGCCCAGGATGTGTTTCACATTCTCAGTCATATAACTCTGAGTGTGATGTGAAAACCCATCTCTATTTTAATCACTATCCTAGAGAAGCCCAGAGAATAGAAGGTCCACAATAGCAGCAACTGAAACTCTGGTTTTTGACAGTTTTGACTTATTCTGGACTCAGGTCATATCTGGACAATCAGTGTCAAACCCCAACTACATGTACTTCTCACCAGCCTGAAAACTGCCCCAAACATAGGGAACTAGACCCAACACTGGAAGGGAGTTTGGGGGAGGGTGTTATGCCTCTCAGAGCGCGTGATGAAAGATGGGGTCCCAGGAGCCTCACGAAAGGAACGCAGAAGGAAACACCAAGACCGCCAGGTTAACCTTTCTTCCAGCCTAAAACCTCTCGGACTCTACCATATGGTACAAAGAACCTAAAGCCCTACCCTCCCAGTGATGATATGTGGAGATGGGGCCTCTGGGAGGTCATCAGGTTCCGATGCGGTCATGAGCGTGGGGTCCTCAAGATGGGATTAGCGGCCTTATAAGAAGAAACACAGAGAGGCTGCTAAATAGGAAGGAGAGGCCTGTAAGGACGCGGTGAGCCGGCGGCCAGGAACTGGACTTTCACCAGGGGCCGAACCTGCTGGCATCTTGACCTGAGACTTCCCAGCTTCCAGAATAGTGAGAAATAAATGTCTATTATTAAACCCCCAGTCTGCGGTATTTGTTATGGCAGCCTGAGCAAACTAATACAGGTGCCTGAGTCAGCCAGGAGTTCAGATCCTGACTCCACCCCTTACACAGCTGGGTGACCTTGGACGAGTCATTCGATTTTTCTTATCCACAATTTTATGGATAAACTATGAGAACAATGGTTGCCTCACAGGGTTGTGGGGACAGTTGAATGGGCCGATGTATGTGAAAGGTGCCCAGAGCTTTTCCTGGAACGTCCATCCCTCACGCGGCCTTTGTGCTAGAACAGCCCCCATCAGCAATGACCTGATGCACGCTGTGGTTCATCTTGCCAATAGGTAGCCTATTGGTCACATTCAGCCCACAGATGTGTTTTGTTTGTCCTGAACTAATGTTTGGGGGAACTTTGGGTTATTTAATCAACATTTAAAAGCCAGGAAGTTGGGACGCCTGGGTGGCGCAGTCGGTTAAGCGTCCGACTTCAGCCAGGTCACGATCTCGCGGTCTGTGAGTTCGAGCCCCGCGTCAGGCTCTGGGCTGATGGCTCAGAGCCTGGAGCCTGTTTCCGATTCTGTGTCTCCCTCTCTCTCTGCCCCTCCCCCATTCATGCTCTGTCTCTCTCTGTCCCAAAAATAAATAAACGTTGAAAAAAAAAAATTAAAAAAAATAAATAAATAAAAGCCAGGAAGTTTCATGCAAAAAAAAAAAATCTCAAATTCTGTTTGACAGATAGGTTGACATGCCACCGGCCCTGCGTTCTGCCAGGGCAATCCCCTCTCATCAGAAGGTGACCTCTCACCTCCATGCACCCAGGCAACCTCACCCATTCAGAACACCCACTTGGCACCTGAAGGCTTCTGAGTTAGCAGCCCCTGGGCTGAAAGGGCTGGTGGAATCGGTGTGGCCGGTACTTTTCCTAGCTGCCCACAAACAAAGATTTTAAGTACAATTTCAGGATCAGTCTTCCAAAGTGAGGAACAATTAGCACATTCCTGAGTCACTGTTTTATTTATTTTTACTTCCACTGTGAGCTCAAGAACCCTCACAGAGAGGCCAGGATCTTAGTTCTTGGAGTAAAATAGATTTCTTACAACCCAGAGGTTGGCTGACCTAGCTTTGCCCCTGTCACTCAACTTTGTGGGGCCTCAGTTTCCTCCTCTGTAAAAGGAGGCCTTGGGCTAGACAAGCTCTATTGTCTCTTCCTTATTTGTGTAATTATTAGGTGGAATTCAAGCTCCTGGGTAGAAATTCAACACACCCTGGTTTATTTCGGAGCCCTAAAGGTTTTAATGAGCTCTTAAAACACCTCACTGACCCTTAAAATAAGACTTAACTAAATGTAAACAGGACTCAGATAATGGCCTTGTTTATTGTTCTGCTCCCTCCAGGGTTAGGGCTTTAGCCTTGATGTTCTGCACTTAACACACCAGCGAGGAAAGAACACGAGGGCATTAAACAGCTGATGTGCAACCTCCTGTCCCCAGGAGGTCCTAGTGCTCTGGGCCCTGCCTGCCTCTCTGCCCTCATTCCACCACGACACAAACCCAACCACCCACCCCCCAGCCTCTGGTATTCTATGCACATTGGCCTTCTTTTGGCTTCTTGCTCGCTGCCACCACAGGGCCTTTGCACCTGCAGTTCCCACCAGCTGGAACCCTCTTCACCGAGTTAATTCCCACTGATCCTCCAGAAGACAGCATCGGCAGGACATCGCCACTCCTTGGCAAGAGCAAGTCACGCTAACATGCTTTCATCACATCAGCTGCATCACAGGAGCTGTCAAAGCGGCTCTTTAACATCTTACTTGTATGATTAGTTGACTAATGATCATCTCCCTGACTGGATATAAATGCCAGAAGAGCGGGGCCCACATCTATCTCTGCTCCAAGTTGTCTCTCCAGTGCCTGGCCAATAAGGAGGCACTCAAATATTTGTTGAACGAGTGAATACATTTATGAAAAGCTGACACTATTCTACTGGGAAGATCCTGGAAGGCAATAAACCCCTCAAGGACCACGTCCTGTTGAGGGCTGTATCTCCAAGACGTCACAGTAATGACAGCGACAACATGGACAGTAATAAGAGCTATCAGTTCTCAGTGTGCTCCAACCCTGTTCTAACAGGTCATTTATAGAAAAACTCGATTTAAACCTTCATTAAGAATCCTATGGGGGCACCTGGGTGGCTCAGTCGATTAAGCATCCGACTTCGGCTCAGGTCATGATCTCACAGTCTGTGAGTTCAAGCCCCGCGTCAGGCTCTGTGCTGACAGCTCGGAGCCTGGAGCCTGCTTCGGATTCTGTGTCTCCCTCTCTTTCTGCCCCTCCCCTGCTTATGCTCTGTCTCTCTCTGTCTCAAAAATAAATAAAACCATTAAAAAAAAAAAAAGAATCCTATGGAAGGAGGCACGTTTCTCATCCCTGTTTCGTGTAAGAGGAAACTGAGGCACACAAAGAAGTTGGTAAGTCACTTGGCCAGAAGTGTTAAGTCACAGACCTGTACCTGTGAAAAGCTAAGTGAGGGGTATAAACCACTTTACACCAAGTGGGTAAGTCACTGGCCAGGTCTTAACAGAAGTGTTAAGAGTGACAAAATCGCAAGCAGTCTGGTTCCAACCACGAGGCCATCTTGCCTACAATGGCACCAAATGGTTAAGGAGGGCACAATACATCTTTACACAGTATGTGATATCTGCCTGTGTATCAACCCTCTGCCCCCCTTACAGATGTTATATACATGAATAAATGGATGAACCATCTATGGATCAGAAGTCTAGACAGGTAAGGGTCTCAGAACCTAATAGCCACATGAGCCACATCAAAGTCAACAGAAGCAACAAGAACCAAGCAGACAAAAACCTTAAGATAGGGCTCCCCGTGGGGGACAGTCCCCCTGCCCCAGCTCAATCCCACCAGGGGAGAATAGTCCGTGACCTGGCCATCCACGTACCTGATGTTTTCGTTCAGTGCATAGAGTTCGTTGCTTTGCAAGCCACCCCCTTTGAAGACGTTGATCACGGCAGTCTGCACACTACAGGGTAAACAGAAATGACCCCTGGTTAGAGGATCTGCCTGCCTGGGGCAAACTCAACAAGCAGCTCTGAGCTAAAGGCAGGTGTAAGGGCCAGGAAGCACATGGCACAAAAATGGCCCACTGTCCATCCCTGGAAACCATCATTTCCTTCCCAGGGTCCTTGGAGAGAAACAAAGACCGAGGCCAAAAGGATCCAAAAGCAGCTCCTCTCCCTCCACTCTCTCAAAAGCCAGCAGGTCCTCCTCGCTTGCCTCGCTGGTGGCCCTGATGGCAAACAGCACTGATCGAGGGCAGGTGGCGGGATCTGCTCTCAGGATCTGCGCCTGGAGGAATCCAAAATGGCGCTTGCCTCCCTCTCTCTGACCCTCCCCCGTTCATGCTCTGTCTCTCTCTGTCTCAAAAATAAATAAAACGTTGGGCGCCTGGGTGGCG